TTCTAAGTGGAGAATGTGGGTAAGTTAAACTCAAATATCTACTCAGTTTATTGAGATCCCTCCCAATTAAAAAAATTGGGAGGCCGCTGACCTCGGCTGCTATGAGCCAACCGCTGGGTGTTCCATCCCTCTCCTAGGGAAGGGGCCTGATTCCCAGGATAACCAGTTTTAACCTACTGCTGGTTTGAAGTTCTGGATGGAAGTTAAACTTAAAACTTATGCAGATAATATCGAGACTCAAATGTTGGGCTTGAAGTAGACTTATTTGTTGTTCTGAGAATCTCTACTGACATTAAAAGTCCCACATTATGCAAAATACACTTTATAAACATTTTTAATATGTGTCCTGATGCCTGCATTTGAGGTTCACAAATATAAAAAAACAAACCTTTCACCTCTATATTTGATTTTCTCCACCTCTTAGCTAATGTGTGATCAAAATGGTCGGTTTTAAAATCAACCCCTTTATGATGTCATATGGCGAAATGAGCTATCCAGAGCAGTCTGTAGCAGACCATTGTTCAAGCTCCAGCCTCCATCTTATGTATTAAGGTGTGCTCAAAGGCTATCTTTACGAAGTCTTAACGGTTATCATGGTTTGGGACGTGGAAAGCCAAAACATCTCGTCCAGAGGAGGGCTTAGTAAGTAGATTTTTGGTAAAGGCTGTCTGCCTAATCGGAGAGGTATTTCCTGCACAAATGAAAAAAAAACATGATTATGTTTTCCATTTATATCAGGATAAATGATATTAACAAAGATCATGTTTAGACTTTAAAAAGCCTCATGTTGCTATGGTGGAAACCAAAGTTACAATGAGGTTATTGAGTGACTACTGCTGAAGACACAATTTATATCTCCTCTGACCTCCATCGTTTTTGGGATGTAGTCTGGGTCCTTTAAAGGATGTAGTCCCTGAATTGGGACACACCCTTTGTCTGGTTCTCAGGGTCTTTCTTCTGCAGGTTTAAATGCCCCAATTCAACACACCTTATGCAAATCAAAATGATTCCCTGATTTTGGGAAACCAGCAAAATCTAAAACAAGGAGGCATCCCCGCAACAACTGTGAACATGGCACAGTAAATCCTAATTATTCTTTAATACTTTATATGTTACTTCTTCTATTTTTTGTAAGGTACTCTGGTTATCTGGTAGATGAAGTAACAGTATAAATAAATCTTTTTTTATTTTGGTCCCTGCCAAAGCTAAATAAAACTTAGAACATATAACTAGATAAAACCAATAACAGGTAGACAGCCAAAATGAGAAGCTGGACATCTAGGGAGACACTAAATCCACATGGACCCAATCTTCTGCAGCTCAGTAGAGCAGCTTACAAAGTGGATTTGAAATTCTTCCTTGAGCTTTTTTCTGCTAACTATACAACATTATGGTAGATTATTTTTTTTCATTTAAATGTTTATTTGCTCAACAAACTTACCAGGATATTTCTAGTTCTCTTTTTTATGTATCTTAATTCTGCTTGTCCTCTCATATCAAAGCCAATTCAGCTGTTTGTGATGTTTCCCGCTTTCTGTAGTTTGGGCAGAGTCTATGGTAGTAGTGCAGGGGGATTATGTGCTGCATTCATGCACACTCATATTTTTGAGTGTCAATGCAGCAACAACATTATATTTTATATCAGATTTTATCGTCCCAGCTTAGGGGGCTCATGGGGTGGCTTGAATGACTAGTGGGTTGGCATAATGCCCCCCCTGGGCATCCCTCTGGACATGCCCCTGTTGATATGATCAGGGGTAGGCTTACTCATCAGACATTTGTGATAAGTGCAAATTGCCTAAAAAAAGAAAACCGTTGAGAAGTAATGGAGAAATAGATTTTTTTTTCCAGCTAATTAAATACGGTATTCTTATACAAGACATTTTTCTTGTATAAGAAGACACAAATGTCTTATACAAGACATTTAAGCTCATATTGTCATAGTTCTGTATAATATTTGACTTCTGTAGAAAAATGGAAGCCAAGATTTAAGTACAAGAGTACCAAATATTTTAAATATGAACTAGAAGAAGGAGTGATGACCTAAAAGGTAAGTACTGCAAACAACTAAAGCATGGAGGTGGAAGGATATATATTTAACTTGTAAACGACTGATTTTGAGAATTGAAAAGAAAATTCACATGAATGCCTATTACTTGATTCTTTGTTTTATTGTCACAGGATTGTAGCAGTCTACATTTGACAGAATACTCATCAATAAGAATCACTGTCTCTCCTCTTGTAGGTCCGCTCTATTCAGGGTACATCTGGTCAGTCAGCAGGCTCAGAGACAAGGCCAGGTGGCCGAGAGGGGGAGTAAGGAAGGGGGTGAAAAGATGGGAAATCACAGACGGCCTAGCATCTGTAGATATGTATGGTAACCAACATGATATTGGAGCACTCAGAAGGTGGAAATCAGGACAACCTATTGATATGCAGTTTTAACTCAAACAATAGAGTTCGGATATTTTCAAGAAAGTAGTAGTAGAGGAAATTATCTATCAGCATACAGATTGGGGGCATCTTTGTGTGAAGCTTGTGAACTCACAAAGTGTACAGGTTGAATATGTCCATCCACAGGTCACCAGTCTATCGCAGGGCAACATAGAGACAAACAACCATTGACGCACACACTCACACCTAAGGAGAATCTAGAGAAGCCAATTAACCTAACAGGTCATGTTTTTGGACTGTGGGAGGAAGCCAGAGTACCCAGAGAGAACCCATGCATGCTCAGGGAGAACATGCAAACAACATGCAGAAAGACCCCAGGCCATGAATTGAACCCGGAACCTTCTTGCTGCAAGGCAGCAGTGCTACCCACTGCGCTACTGAGCATCAGTGTGTAAGTAAATTATGCTTCTCTCTTTAAATGATTATACCTGGCCACAGCCTTGTGTCAAATTAATGTTTACTCAAGTACTCAATGTACTTTGGGTCAGAAGTTCCTATGCTGTTTCTGCGGATGTGACAAGTGCATCCATGTTAAATGGATCCAATCCAGCAAACAATTAAAGTGTTAGATTCAATATGGATTTTGCAGACAACTTGAACTTCACATAAGATGAAAAAAGTGAAGAAAAAAAAACTTGTCAAGTATGAGCACGAGCTACAACAGTATAATTAGAAAACTCTGTTATGCCTCTTTTGGCCACTTATGGTCAGTAAAAAGCTACAAAATATCTAATTAACACTGTTAAAACAGTTGGCACTCATATAGATGGCAATCACCGCACCAGCCATGCACAATGAGTTTTAACCATGAAAATAATTATACTTTCTTGGCTTCCTCATACAGGTTTTATTATCACAGGTCTATGGAACTATTTTTAATGCAATGCCTGTCCTGTATGTTTAATTAGCAAAATGCAAGAGTATCTAAAGTCCTGGGAACATGTCTAACAAGGACAATCTCAAGGCCTGGTTCTCAAAAAATGGTCCGAACTTTGATGAGTGCATGAGAATTGTGCAAAGATGGATAATTGGATTTTTTCATTATACTCATAATCATCAGCCACATTATCTAACGTTATGTAACAGACCTAACCAGTTTAAATATGCAAATGTTTTGGGGCATTATTTGATAGACAATAATTATAACTTACACTAGCTGTTTCTACGTGTTCCTGCTAAAATAAGATGAAGGGTTGTCTTCACATCTGGCAGAAGTTGAATAGCACCTGTTGTACATGTTTTTTTTTGTTGTTTTTTTGCTTACCGTTGCAACAGCATCAGAGTCCTTTAAATTCAGTTCTGGTTTTAGATTCTTCTCATCCAAGTCTCTACAGAGGGACAATAAAAAGAGAATATTTGGCTAAGTGCATAATCATTTTTCTCTACTGGAACTGTGTTTCACACAGCTGTTTG